TTGGTATATTAATAGATGTGAAAGAATAGCGAAAATATATATTAGCAATACTTAAGTTAATTTTTCAAGCGGTATTATTAGTTTTAAAATAAAACATTACACATGAAACATTTATGTACAATACATAAGGTATTCAAATAAGTATTTGATTACCCTAAATGTTACTAACTCTCATAGACATATAAAATATATAGGTTCGTGTTAACAAACTATTTGAGCTGACTGTACATTGATTTTATATCGTCATTTAAGTAGTTCCTTTGGTGCCCTACGTGTTGCCCACACAAAGAAACCGTGATAAAACGAAGACTTATAATTACTTTCCTTCATTTTTCAATAAATTTAACCCAAACGAAAATCAAACGATAACTATTTTGGTTTCGTCGAAATGACATTAAACGTCCGAAGAATAATCTGTCAAACTCGAATTTTCGTTCGTGCGGATTGTACAATTAGAGTAGGGTTCCGAAAATATCGACGTCAAACAGTACATCTCATACTAATTTCTGGTTTGTTTCATTCCTTTTTCGTTCGTAACAAATGCCATTGTGGTAGGTAATGTTCGAAGTTTCGTCCGAAACTTCGTTTTTCGTCGAATCAGAGTAGACCTCCTGACTTGTAGTTACGGAGATTAGCGCGTTCAAACAAACAAACAAACTCTTCTGCTTTATATAACAGTATAAGAGTATAAGATATAAGATAGGTACCTTACCTTTCTTTATATTTGACTCCGAATTTAGTAAAAGCTAGTTAAATTGTAAAACTAACCCATTCAGTAAAGAAATATATCTTTATAAATAGAATCGTCATGTAGGACGTGCCCGCTGACATTGAACGGAATACCCATAATTGAACAATACCTTGACGCCCATCGCCCATGGAAACGTGACGTCATCTCCACCATGCTTATGTATTTGCATACCTACATTCACACACACTTGTTAAGAAGAGATGGTACCTACTATATAACAACAACGTCAACATAACATCACGCCTTTCTTCCCCAAAGGGGTAGGCATAGGTGCACATTACGGCACTTAATGCCACTGTACAATGTAACACCCACTTTTCACTATTTTATGTAATGAGTCCCATGTAATAGGGGGTGAGCCTATTACCATATACCGGGCACAATTCCAAACTCCGTGTTACCACTGATCTCGCATACCTATTTCAAATACCTGTACTAGGAGTATCCTGTACCACAGGCGATGACAAGTGAGAGGAGGCTCTAACTTTGTATAACATAACATAACATCACGCCTTTTTATCCCCGAAGGGGTAGGCAGAGGTGCACATTACGGCACTTAATTCCACTGTACAATGTAACATCCACTTTTCGGTAGGTATTTATGTTATGAGTCCCATGTAATAGGGGTTGAGCCTATTGCCATATACCGGGCACAGTTCCAGACTCCGTGCTACCACTGAGATTTTTGAAAAATCCCAGTAATACTTTGCCCGACCCGGGAATCGATACTTTGTATATTAATTATATAACAACTTATTTCATATAAGTACCTACAAATATATCTATTTGAAAAATATTTACTGCTTAAATTGTTTCGTTAAAATGTCTTGCGTTTTCATGTCTATGCAAGATAATTTATAAGATTATGGCTATGCCATATTCGTCAATAACTTACCACGTTCTTTTTTAAAATCGGTTAAAACCTACTACAATAAAGAACAAGCTCGTCCCTTAGAGTCATTTTGTTTAATTATATACTACAGCAAAATGCTATTTGCATACATTATTCACAGACTTTAAATAATAATGCATAATGAACAAATAAAGTAATGCGTTTGACGGGAAACCTAGTGATCGCAGTAGCGATGTGCAACTGAATAATTCCCACAAGGTCGAGATGACGTCATAGCTCATACAATTATCTATGTATATTCTAGCATTATCCATGATGCAGAAAATTGGTAAATACAAAAAATTCGATCGCAATCTGTCCACATAATATATGTGCATGCGTAGCCACAATCCAATAAAATGAATCGCACTTTAAAGCCAGTTATTAAAGGTTATTTTCGTTTGAAATTTAAGCATTAGTTTAATATATAGTATTTTTTAAATTCTTAGTACTTAAAGAACCGCGTCTGGTGGATAGAAGGTTACTTACAATACTTATCTTAATACGCTATGATATATAATATATAAAACTAAAGAGTTTGTTTGTTTGAACGCGCTAATCTCCTAAAATACTAATCCGATTGGAATAATTATTTTTGTGTTGGATAGTGCATTTATCGAATAAGGTTTTTGGCTAGTAACTTATAAGTAGTACGAATCGAAACTCATTCATGACCACACCCGCTTTTTAAAAACCATAAATATGTATAGAAATGTACATTTTTCAATTTAAGATTTAGCTTAGTGCTAATAAATTAGATCAACGCCTCTTAAACTGTCAAATACCAAGCGGCCACCGGTGACCGCAACCTATTGTTCTATAATTGTGTCTATAATGACGGTACTCGACGAGTTAATATATATAACTAGTCACTCCCGCACGTTTTCATCCGCTCTGCTTGGCTCCTATTGATCGTAGCGGGATGTTTCATAGTCTAGCCTACCTCAAAGAATTATTCAAATTGGACCAGTAGTTCCGGAGATTAGCGTTGATCGTAGCGTGATGTTAAATAGCCTATAGCCTTCTTCGATAAATGGACTATTTAACACAGACATTTTTTTTCAAATCGGACCAGTAATTCTTGAGATAAGCGCATTCAAACAAACAAACAAACAAACTCGCTTTATATAATTGTATATTTAAGATTATAGTAATATAATAATAAGATATGAGATCTGACGTCTATATTGAGTCATTTCCATAACAACACTATGACATACTCAGATTTGCATTCAACATTATCAGAAGGTCAAAGTTACCATTTTATTGTTTCAAAAAATAATACCTTTTCACTAAGAAATAGTTTCGAAACTTTTGACACGGAATCGTGTAGTTTGCGCTCGATTTATGACCCGCTTCCTTTCGTTTCTTGTAAACTACACTGAAGGGCGACCTGACCTATTTTAACGACCCGTATATCAAACTGACACGGTCAGCCAGTATGTTAACAATCTTTCTTTTATAATGTGCGATATAAATAGCAAGTTACTCATTACTATTATGAAGAGTTAGTTGATAGATTGCTATCGTTTTTAAATCGTCATAATCATCATTTCAATCTGAAAAGAGATTTCATTAAATAGGTATTGTCGTATCGTTATCATGTCATAAAGATCTCATTCTTTCTTTCTTTATTAGCTCTGAGATGTATGTACTCGTTAACTCTCAAGATCTCATTTATAGCACTAGCAATACTTGCATATACAACGTGATAATTTTTAATGAATAATAACAAACTCACACCGACAGAGAAGATTAGTTCTCTATAATTATTGAGTCTGTAAAACTTTTACACAGATACTAGTAACAGAAATAAAACCAAAAAATTGTATGTTTAGTTAGTTGCAATCGATTAAAAAACCCCTTTTAAAAAAATAACAAGTAATACATTAATTGTTATTTATTTTTAACGGTTTTAATTAAATTAATTTTGATTTCCTCTATTCCTATCTATCATAATATCACAAGACAATCGGCGAAGCGTCACGGATTCATGGTAGATGTTCTACCCACTCGCACTGTTACGAGAGTCCTTTAGGATTTCTTTTTAAAAACTAATTTTATATTAGAACTATTTTAATTAGTTAAAGGACTGAGTATACAACCGTACCGTTCGGAGATCTTGTCCAGACTGAGGGGTCTGGCATGCCACCTTACACGCTAAGATATAATAATGATGACGATGTAGTTTTATGTCATCCCAGCATAAACCCTTACATATCAGGGATATAACAGCACGAAGCGCTTCGCGTCAAGCTTCCTTGTGCGTACTGCTAAGGGGTGGAATTCCTGTTTCCTGAAGGGTTTATTCTGGCTTGGGCCTTCAAGGCCCGAGTGAATAGGTTGCTTATGGGCAAACGCGCTCGAGATAGTGGTCAAACGTCAGTCCATCAAATATATACCAGATCTATGTACCGTGAGGAAAGGGATAAAATTCTGGGATAGACAAACAAACGGAGCAAGCCAAATAAATCCGTTTAATAGAAATACACTAGTCGGGGGCTCGTCTTGAAAGATTTCCTCATTAAAATGGTCATATGTAGACACGAAACTGCGTAATGTCGATAACAAGAAGAGTCAACGTGCGCTCATTGACACTACAAATCACGGCACGTAAGAACACGTGGGTGTTGCCAAACAGTAATCGGATATTGCTACTAATTGACAACACCTACTGCAAATCAGATGGGCACACTTTTCAGAATATTACGTAATTATGCTACTTGATTTGTCCGATTCGATATATTCAATATGGACGTTATTTAAAACATACAAATCAAAAGAATGTCAGTTATATTACGAAAAGATTGCAAGCTTTTGTTAGCGTTTAGTGGTAGATTTATTCCTATCAATCAGCTCCCTCTGTCCTTTATTTAAACATTCTACCTAGATAGCATTTACTAGTTGGTCGAGTAACTGTAAGAGCTTTAGACACAAATTTCCTGAGTCGGGAAAAATTATGGAAGTCCTTCTCTGTCGATTTGTGTAAAAATTGTAATAAATACCTCGTCCAATTAGTGCGTACTGTAGACTAGAGCACTGACATCTAAAACGCCTCTCAATCTCAAAAAAAAATTATTCAAATCAATAACAAAACATTCCTTTTTCTTCCAGATCTTCGGCATCGTGATAATAGCAGCAGCATGCGTAGACATGGGAATGATCAAGGGGTTCGCTGGCATGGAACCGACTGGTCATGAAACTGACGCATTGCTGATCGCTATTGGGGTTCTCATCATCATCATAGCGGCCTTTGGCTGCTTCGGTGCCTGGAAGGAGAGCCCTAAACTGTTATACATCGTGAGTACATTCATTATAATTATCATAATAATCTTAACGCTGTCCCGGTAGCTTCTTCTCTAAGCCGGGGATACTTAGTAGTATTCCCATTTCATTGGTTTCATCCTTCCACATAATTAGAATCACTATTCCGAACAGCGGTTTCTAGAGTACAAATAGCTTTAACGATCGCAAACTTTCGCAAGACGATGGCACTATAAGAAGAATTTATTACAATCCAGGTAGACAGTTTTTTATATATTTCATTAATAGATTTTTACATACGATATTAACTCAATAATGGCGCTTTTAGAAAGCATGAAATGACCATCAGTCGACCATGAACTAAATAGAACGGAATAAACAAAGATTAGAAGTAAGGACCACAACAGACGCAACTGTTGACAACATTCAGTTTAACCTTGAAACAAATAATATGGACTGCGGACTGCGAATCACCAATAGAAGCGTTAATTGACCAATAGAGTGTGACGAAAAGTAGCTACTACGTCGTCGTGGCGAGCTTGTGTACACTACAAAGTTTTTATTTCATTAAGAAGTGTATTAAGGTACTTAAATTAATCGAAACACGTCAATAAGTCTTTTGTGCTAGTCAACTACACATCGGTACTGAGGAAACATTATTTCTAAATATAGAATTATAAAAGTTCATCAGAGTTATAAAAGTCAGTTGCGGGAACAAAATCTTTGCGAACTTTCCTAAGCAGACTGAGAAAGATTTCTATCATATTATATTGTATCTTCTACATAAATGATTATGTCACACAACACAGAAAAAATAGTTCTAGGTTGCCCCTTTGAATATATTTTACAGAATATATGATTAAAGATGAACTAGAACTTTATGCGGTTAATAATGTATCAAAACTTGTACATAAAAGCCGACGAAAATAAATTACATATATCAAAATAAGCGATGATCTAACTTCACACATTGCCACTCATTGTGTCAGAGTAATTTAATTAAAATTTATTGTTACTAGGCCGAAGCTCAACACTACACTTCTGACCCACCTACTCAAATCGTGACTTTCGCCTATATTTCAAAATTGACCCAAAAACGTAATTGGTCATGGGCAGGTCTCACTATGGTAATGAGGTCGACCGATGGATCGCGTTGTCGGTAAATGTCCTATTGTTTTATTTGAGGCAGCATATTATTCATATAATGACGAGGATGATTTCAAAACAATTCTAGATGGTTTTATACTTAAAGTGGTTTAAACTGTCGTATAGACATTAAATAAGCAAATAATGCTTATACTCCATGATGATAATGACGATGACAGGATATCTGTTAAATCAGTCTATGGTGCATTCAACCGTTTTATGTAGCCTAGTGCGTTGTATACTAATACACATAACATAAAAACTATGTCAGTAGGCTTAATACGACAGCTCAATTTAGGTTAAGTTCGACATGTAATTGGAAAAGTTCAGAAAGTACCAACTCCGAACTTTTTTTGACTGAGAAGTTATCAATGTTAACACGCAATGCTTTGTAGAAACTTAGAAAGCGTCGTCGACAGAAAAGATGAAACGTTCTCTGTAGAAGTCATGAAAGATAAAATGGAAGTCGTGTAACTAGAAAAGTAAAACATATTTAATATTCATAGATAAAGAAGTGCTGAAGAAAAGGTGAAAATACCTGAAGAGTGATTATGACAATATTATGAATTTGCGTAGGACTTTATAATTATAAATATTATCATCTGCGTTCTTCTAAGAATCTTTCCCTTTAATTCTCAGTTCGTCGGCTGTCTGATCATCATCATCCTCCTGGAGCTGTCCGTTGGTATCGCTGCTGCCGCTTTACGTCCTCAGATTGAGAGCACCCTGAAATCCCAACTGCGAGCGTCCTTCATCAAGAACAAGTCTACCAAGGAAGAGGATTCTACCTACAGGGAATTCTGGGACCGAGTCCAAACTAGCGTAAGCTTTTGATTTTTTAAACGTATTATAGCCTTATTTTCTGGGGCCTAGGGTTTATTTTGCCACTTAGATTTGATGCCCTAGATAGTAAAAAATTAAAATAACGTGGTTCGTGATGGATTGCAATGATGTCGTCCTCATCTCTATGAACACCCATAGTGCTGGAGGTAACAATTTGTGTTACTGCCTTTTAGTGGGTTTGATGATTTGATCTCGTATGTTAAATCCAAGAATATAAATAAATTATGTTTTCCTTTAATAATTCGTTGTTTAAAAATGACCTGTGTTTAACAAGTCACAGTAATTTTCAAGTCACACTTACTGAAGCAGTAATTGCTTCCTGGTACGTTAGAACAACCGCTAATCATTGTCATTAGGAGTGTCATTAGGTGTTTATATGTATACAAAGACATATAATATGTCTATTTGTACTGCCACATGTATGATACGCCCAGGTAGTGCTTAATGAGTAGATATCGATTGTACATTTGTATCAAAGAGTCCAATGAGTCAGTACGTACAAAGTAAACATAAAAATTTAAGGACAACTTACAATAATTATTACAATATAAGTATCGTATATAAGTATCGTAGCAATTGGCATACCATAGGCTCTGCCTGCCCCATGGGAGATAACCGTGAAGGGTATATATGAATGTATGAAAAAAGTGACGAGCTTTAAGGGCTTTGAAGGTTGGTGAAAAAAGAAATTTTCTACATTAGACCTTCAGAGAGTTAGAACATTACTTTACATCGTTAGTTTACATCACTTTAAAAGGCCTCGAAGCTTAAGTTTTAATAAAATATAGTATAGCATGTATTAGTACTGACTAATAAATAGTATTGACTCAAACATTCTTCAGTTTTGAAAGCTGTTCTGCAAATATAAGGTGTTTCAAAGCAATTGCATGACAAAATTTCCCTTTATCTTCTAGCTGGAATGCTGTGGCATCACCGGTCCTGACAACTACGGAGCCTCGGAGCCTCGCATCAATCCTTCCTTCAGCTGCTGCCCCAACGATGGAACTGATCACTCCGCTGAGATCAAACGCTCCAACTGCCTCTCTGATGGAAAGTACTACAAGGAAGGATGTGAAGACAAAGTTCTTGGAACGATCCACAGTGCTGGCATGACCGTCATCGTCTGTGGAATTCTCTTCTGCTTTTTGGAGGTACATTATGAATTTGTCATTTAAGTAGAAATAAACATAACAAAACACTTCGTCTTTTATCCTCGAAGGGGTAGGCAGAGGTGTACATTACGGCACTTAATGCCACTGTACAATGTAACGCCCACTTTTCACTATTTATGTTAATAGTCCCATATAATAGGGGGTGAGTCTATTACCATACACCGGACACAATTCCAGTCTTCGTGCTACAACGAATACTTTTTTAAAAGAGCCAGTAGTACTTTGCTCAACCCGGCAATCGAACCGACTCCTTGCCCGGCAACCGCACTGTCGGTCAGCCGCATCTAAGTAGGAATATTATATGGAATTTTTGATCGAAACTTAAGTTTTTATAATAACTATCGTGAGACATACTAAATTATGTAAAAACTGTGGTTCTAAACTAGTGAAACTTAAGTTCCTGATCGATTTTGATAATATAGTTATGTTCGTATATCCTTGATTATAATTTGGCTTAAAATCTTCAACAGCTCAGTTCATTGCGAGGGGTAACGGGCTATTTGGTTTAAGCGACATTTTGGGCGATATTGAGTTATATATATATTCGGAATCAGCGAATTTTTCTCCGTCGATTGATGCCGGTTTCATTAAAATTGGAGCACTTTTTTGGCGTTTCAAACAATTCTATTTTCGTGTTGTTTCCAAAGTGACAGTGTATTAAACGACATGGATTTCGCATTTTTTATTAAATTATGTACTTGAACCATACCATCATATTAATAACCGAGACATAAACCAGTCACCCTATCTCTAATTAATAAGTCAATAAGAGTTAAAGCGTTTTTCCTGTTTCTAATTTTTACTAGCAAGTAACTTGAATCATTTTGACTTCCCACTAATCACACGGTGTGTTGTCGCTTAAAACATTTATCCGTCACCCAAATACGACATGGTTCGTCTCTTAAACACTTCTAGCTGCTTTTATTTTCCACGCAGGGTGCTACTTAAACCAAATAGTCGTTTTCGTTCAGATATTTTGTTTAGTCATAAATCATTTAGCCCTCCTTTTTTTTTAAAATGCATGTCGTTTTATACAGATGATAACATTAATAATGGATATTGAAACATTTTGCCAGTATTCATAAAAATATGAATCGGTCTTTCAATCACTAAATTTTAATATGGTACATTTCAATCATGTCATATGATACTATATTTATTTCATCGCCCGGGTGTTAAAAATCGTGATCATCCAACTGGACTATCGTGCGCTGGCGCTTCAGTCACTCCAGAATGCGTCGAAGACAGACGGGACGCGCACTCACCGCCAGTGTTTACGTAAAACGCTCATCGAAATTGAATCCTAAGTACTTTAATTTCAAGATCAACCTCGCGGTCGTCCGAAGACTTTGGTGACAATAGGCTATTGTGGAAGCTGATGACATACAATCTACGGCTGATTTAGCAACAGCTTTCGACGTTAGCATCAAAACAATATTGGTCCATTTACGTCAAATTGGCAAGGTAAAAAAACTTGACAAGTGGGTGTCCCACAAACTCAATGATCGCCAGAGCTAAGTATGCATCGAGCAGTGCCTTGCACTGCTCAACATAGTTGTAGTAGTAGTTAGTTCAGCACCTAAACAATACCCGAAACGAAAACTTACTCCTAGAAAAGTGATGGTCACTGATGGTCTAGCGCCAGTCTGATTCATCACAGGTTCTTACCAAACGGAGTGAGCATTACTGCGGATGTGTAATGTGAAGAACTGAACACAATGATGGAGAAGCTGACACATCTCCAACCAGCACTGGTCAATCGCTCATCTCCATTGCTCCTGCATTACAACGCGCGACCTAAAGCTGCACAACAGATGGTCTCCAAGTTACAAGAACTGGGGTTGGAAGCTCTCCAATATCCACCCTACTCACCAGACTACTTCTTTTCCAGAATTTGAATAACTTCTTCGCGGGAAAAAAATTCATTACCCGAGAGGCAGTACAAAATGCATTTAAAGAATTTGTTGCCACCCGTCCAGCTGATTTGTTTAAGAAGTATTTTGTGGCAGTTTATTGATGCCCAATAAACTGCCACTGCGTTGGCAACGATGCATTGATTACATGGGTGATTACTTCGATAAATACAAATAAAAAATACATGAAAAAAATCGTTTAAATTTTTTCATACAAAACGGCAATTTCAGTAAATAACCCATTAATTTATCTGATTTTGCTGAATAAATAATAATATAATCGTTGTTCCTATGCAGACTGTTATTATTAATCTAAATAAATACTTTGATATTGTGTTGTGTTTATTTATCCGATGTAAGCACCTGAGATTTTCGGTTGTTTCGATATATCCAGGTTGTTTTATCAGCCATTAATCGTCTTAGATGTAAATAAACATAAACATTTAACGATACAATTTCAATGTTATATGTCACATAAGTAAATTAGCCTGTTACTCATTTTAGTCTAAATTGGTAGTTGAGATAAATAGCTTGCTTCTATTTATTTTGGGTTTCGTTACTTCATACTTTTTGGCTTACTCTGTAAATAGAGTGCATCGTCGCTTAATTTTTTTCCCTTGTAGCCAATTGTAGTTATGAAGTCACTTAAATCATTTTTCCTGACTCTAAAAAAGGGCAGATTGTATTAAGCGACATTTATCTTTGTAATTAAAGGTCCGCTTTATTTGGAATTAGCATCAGCAACTAGATATTTTCATTTAAATTTCAATGCAATTTACCCCGTTCAAATATCTGCAGAAGCGTTTTTGTTATGAATTTTTTTTCGAAATTTCAAACTTTAAAAGGCTCTCCTGTAAAGTTGCAAAAATGTCGCTTAAACCAAATAGCCCGTTACCCCTCGATTGATAAACACGCTTATAACATAAACACAGACTAGGAGGGAAATAGGAAACGATGACCACACGACAGCAATAAATTTTTATACTCGCTTTGTTTAAAAAAGTATTACATAAGTCCTAGAACCATAAAATTCTACGTTGGCTTTGTTATAGTTGACGTGCTAATGAAGCAATGGTATTGATCGAAAAGTTCCGAGAAGTAACTCTATAAAACCACATATAAAGTCATAACTAAAGCTCTTTGAAATAATTATAGCTACATATTTTAGCTAATTATCTAACTAGCACGCCTACCATATATTAGATACTAGCTTTTACCCGCGGCTTCGCTAGCGTCACAAAAGGATAAAAAGTAGCCTATGTGACTATCCATCCGTTCAACTACCTTCAGTTAAAAAATCACGTTAATTAGTACCTCCGTTCTGCCGTTTAAGACAGGCAAACAAACAAATAGCTTTCCGCTCGCGTGGAATTCGGTTATATCGCGCTATTTAGGTTTATGCAATAAGTAGGTAATTCGTTGACTGGTTTTAAATGACATACTGCGCCATCTATACCAGTACATACAGCGTCATCTATACCAATATTTTTGGTTTTTCCTCAGAAATATCAAATTTTTCCGGGATAAAAAGTACCCTATTATTTAATCCAGACTAACTTTACGTCTGCAAAATTTCAAAGCAATCGGTTTAGTAGTTACGGCCTGAAAGCGGAACAAACAAACTCACTTTCCGATTTATAATATAAGTAAAGAAAGTAAAAATATATCAAGTTTTTGCGGACATAATTAATGCGTAAAATAATACGAAATTGTAGCACATAGTTTCAACAAACCCGCAATATACTAGGTACTTTGCATGTCCGAACTATGTTCGCGTGGTAACGATTTACATTAGTGCCACTACTATTGTAACTCACTAGGTTATCACGCGGTCCCTCCCGGTTATCACGGCTAAGTATTCCGTAATAACAGCTTAATTTGAACGTCTTGATTAGATTTTATATTTAAAATGTAGGCTCTTGAAATGTTTTAAATAAATAACCTTAGGAAAGAAAATAAAATTAACCTACTTTAGTTCCTTTTCGGAATTTAGCCATTCCTTTAGCACGCCATTCGCCATTGGGCTTAATAACTACTGGCAGGCCCTTTGCAACTATAGTCACTCCACTTCGAAAAAATATTATAATACCTCCCATTGCTTACGAAAGAACTATCAATGGCTAAAGTATTATCGTGCGGCCTCTTGGCGCCACTGTGTTAACCTACCACTGTGTGGCCTAGCAACACAGACTAGGAAAATATGATAAAAATCCTTTTGCAATTCAATAAATATGTTATCGAATGAAGGAAGGTTTTTCGCGCCTTACTAGTTATTACTTCTATTATCTAATCTATCGTTGAATTTTTTGTTACTGAGTTTAGTAAAGTATTATATTACCCAAGCTTTTTATTCTGTACGTAGTGGCGACAACACGAGAAAGGATATTTTTTAGAACAAAACTTTCTATCTAAAACTTTGCGGTTTATTTCAGTTTTATTTTAGTCTAAAATCTCAGTAGTAGCACGGAGTCTGAAATTGTGAACTGAACTCGGTATATGGCAATAGGCTCAACCCCTAATACATGAGACTCATAAAATAAATAGTGAAAAGTGAGTGTTACTTCTGTGTGCACCTCTGCCTGGATAAAGGAGTGATGTTATATTATTTTTTTATTTTAGACCAGATAACTCCGTTATCACGACAATAGCAACGGCTTTAAGATGGAAATGAGTTCGTAACCCCTAGTAGTGCCTCACTGACGTCACGTGGGTCACGCTATTCGAAAATTTTATTCTTCACAATCTTACATCTTTGACCTAGGCCGAAGGGTTTAACTACTGCTTTATTGAACGTTCAGCTAATCTAGATGACCTCCTTACATGCCTAGGTATCGTAAAAATGCTTTAAATAAAGGGTCTTAAGATCTAGTTTGCCGATAGACCTCTTTTATGAGGACGAATATAAAAACTTTTTTAGGTTATAAATGCTATTTGAGTCGTTATGTGGAGTTGGAAGTTCCTAGTAAATGGTTTCTGTTGATTAGTAATTGTATAGAACTAAAAAATAGGTGCTATTTAAAAACATATTTGTATTTTTCTCTCCATATTTGTGTTTGTAAGAGTCCAACTTCTAAATTCTCTTTTTTTTATGGCATAAGCTGGTAAACGAGCAGACGGATCACCTGTTGGTAAGCAATCGGCGTCGCCCATGGACACCTGGAAAACCAGAGGCATTACAAGTGCGTTACTGGCTTTTGGGGATTAGGAGTTTGATTCAGGAATTGGAAGATTGGGGAAGGGGAGGATAATTGGGCCTCCGGTAACCTCACTCACACGACGAAACACAACGCAAGCGTTGCTTCACGTCGGTTTTCTGCTCGGCCGTGGTATCACTCCGGTCGAGCCGGCCCATTCGTGCCGAAGCATGGGTCTTCCACGCTTAAAGCATTCTCACTCCATTATAAACTTTATTTCCGATATTTAGAGAATACTTTGAGTATGAGGAAATTTCGTGGATTTTTTGTAATCGTGGATTTAGTGGTTAACGTTTGACTAAAGCAAGCTAATGAAAATTCATAAAAGAAAATAATAAAGGATTATAAGTGCCCATCCAAGAACTGAACCTAACAACACGACTAAAGAAGTAATCATGTTTTAAATAATAAATATTTTGTATATTCCAGGTTGCAGGCATCGTGCTAGCCCTTTGGTTAGCGCACTCCATAAAAACGCAGGGGAAGAGCCGAGAGACCGCTTAATTCTACACCTTAGGCACATAGTCACAGAGTATAATTTCATATGCAATGCACTATACGTAAGCTAAATTAAGTTACCTTATTTATTTATGTATAGAATTTATAGACGTTAATGTCTATTACGACGTCAAATTGGACGGCGTCACTTCTGACGCGTTGATGTCGGAAATCTGACGTTGATATTTTTAACGTAATGGCGGATATGCGTAATTGAACTCATTAATTTTAGATGTTCTAGTTGAATAACTATAAAAATAATGTTTACGGTAATTGTAACTTTTATAGAAGCATTTATTTTTATTACCATTCTACTTAAAGTTTCAATCAATATACCTAATACACAAACAATCAATTATCTATATGTATTTTTTTCTATATCAATATAATATGTATAGAAAAACAGATTTTTCCAAAAGGCAACACCTAAGAATTGCGACTAATTTAGGTACTTTGATGCTTTATTAGTTTTTATTGAAACCAAAGTTCTGATACAGTAATTAACAATTTATGAGATAATGTTAATAATAAAATTATTTATTTAAATAACGAAGATAAAAAAATAATCCAACTGAAAAAATTACTAAGAACGTACTATGTAAGTACATTGTACCTATTGTATAATGAAAAACATATTAGTTTAAAATTAAAACATATTTTAAATGAATACTTACATGATAAAATGATAATAAAAAGCGAGGAATGAGAAATAATTCATTAATCTTATTTATAAATACAAATTATATATTATGAATGTCATTATTGAAATAAATACATATTTTTATAACGAAAATGATAATTATTTTGTACATTCTGCAAAATGAACGTTCGTTTGTATCGAATATGAATAAAATGCATTGAATAAAAATAATAAAGACATGCGTAATATTATAACAATAGGGTAGATTCCTAATTTTTATTTAATGTCCGTCTGGTAGATTATTTTAAATCATTAGACACGTATTTTTTATTTTCTTACAGAAACGAATACTTTCGACAATACATTGATTTAAAATGTCGTATGACGTCACTTCTATGTACATTTTATAATACGTAGAAATGACGTTTTAGCCCCCACTCCTAAACTTGATAAAATTCCTTTTATCTAAGTATTATTATTTTTATTTTTTTTATTTTATTTATTTAGAAAACCAACAGCGTTACATGTAGTTCACAAAAGTTTGCGTGAATTACAGTGATTAAGCCTAATAATACGACGATTCAATACGAAATAATAAAAAAATACGTGTCTAATATTTTTTCATTACCTTACTTAAAGACTAATTGGATTTTTAATTATCATGCCTCGTCATCATCCCAATTATTAAATAACATTTACTTTCATTTACAACTACGAATAAGTGCCTTTTTCAAAAGCCACAAATTCTATTTAAGTATTTTTTAATAAAATAATTGCCCTGCTCTGGGATTTCCTTCTGTGTCGTGTACATACGCGATTACAAACATACAAGTTCACATACACAATGACACCCAGACCAGAAACAATAATCTTTAGATCGCACATGACTCGAGTAATTTTCAAAATGTATTATTACGGAGCTCGCATTTATGATAAATGTATTATTAAATTCTACTTACAGATTTGCAAACAATACATTATAAAGAAATTCTAACTGTAATCCTAAAAAAACTGCTAAAAGAAGTCAATTTTACAATCCTAGCGAAAATCCTTTAATAAAACAAAATATTTCTTTCCACCTATACCTACCTAGGTACTTCATGTAACAGAGCTACTCGGTACAAAAACTCACTAGAATATCATTTGAAAAAAAAACAACTTAAAGTATTAATTGTAATATTATAAATTAGTTATAATTAAATTTATAAGTTTTACCGTCGGTCTATAAGTATTGAATGCTTTACTAGTCATTAATTTATTAACATTACCTATGTATCTAAAGCCTGTCTTCACCAACATCTCCTAAACTTTAAGGATCCCCTAAGCTAAGCTAGGTGACAGTTAAAATTATTTTTCTTTCCATTAACCTTAAGAGGTTAGTTTAGACGCTTAGGCGCTTCCTCACGCTAAATAACTTTTAGTTAAGTGACAGGTTAGGGGTTTTTTTGTTTTTTTTTTAAGGGGTAAAATCATCGAATGACTGCTCCCGCCTGGGTGAGGCGGCAGGGAGTGTCAGACTCTTACTGACTAAAAACCACCCCGTTCCTTCTCCTGCACGTCGAGCCGGAGCCCCGGTAACACGTTAGGTTCTCCGCGACTCCGAATCGGCATCGACCCTGTTGGGCCTCATCTGTGGTGGTCAGTTTAGGGGGTGATTGGTGATCAAACGGCTATACATCTCTCAATGTATGTAATATTATTATATAAGCGCTAATATAAATCCCACCACACTGTAATCATGACAAATTCATTCCATGACTCAATGGAAATTTCTAGACTAAGTATAAGTTTTTAATTTTTAGTACGAGTGGTGTTTAAATTGCTACTGGACTTTATTTTATTTCATAAGTACAGATACAGACGACAGATTGAAATCGTTTACTTACTTATAAATGATGAGCTGTGCCCGCGACTTTGTTCGCGTGGAATAGTGACTTACTGCGCTTACCCCGTAGATGATAGCGTGATGATAATATGTAGCCTAAATATTGACCCGACCTGTTAGTTATAAGCATACAAAATTTGAATTAAATCCATGCTGTACTTTTCGAGATAATCCCGAACATACATACCTACAGACAAACAGACAAAAAATCTATAAACCACATTTTTGACTTCAGATAAGTTGTCTTGAACAAAATCACTGTAATTGAACATTTTGTAAAATATAAACCTTGCTCTTGAATCACTCTATCCATTAAAATTAAATAATCACATCAAAATATGTCATTTTATTGATTTTCAAGCATAAATAAGATAGAAAGCGAAAAGTGACTTTGTTTCATACTATAAAATGATAATTTGTTTATTTTTTAACACAATCTACATTTTGCCAATTGGTACTTTTAACTCTAAATGTGATTATACTATAAACCAATATAGAACCAATTTATAGATTTAACTAATAGTGACAGGTTACTCACGTAAATATACCGAGAAAAGCTCTACTATTTTCAAGTCACAGAGGGACTCTTACTTATGAGCTGTGTGCACGCTCGCGGCGTCGCACAGCCTACTGTTATTATAAAAACACAATTTATAGATGTTTCGTTACTATTTCAGAAGAAGTTCAGTAGCAATGTTGTAATTAAAGTCAAATGGCAATATTATTACTTATTACAAAGTCTATTAGTGTTAAATAAATGTTGAAATAGATTTTCTTAAAATAAAATATCTGTGTTCCATAGCTTGCTGTTTTATTTTCATTATTATAGTGTATCTATCATCACCAACTTATAAGAGCCTACCGTTGAGCAAATCCTCTTGTCACACGATCCAATAATAGTCAATCGATAAATGTCCACTGTTGAGCAAAGGCCTCTTCTTACCCAGAGAAGGTTCGAGCATTAATCACCACGCTTGCTCAACGCAATTCTGTTTTGTATGTGTACCTACCAACTACAAAAGACGCACGTTACGAATGAGTGAAATCTAGATAGTAATTTTTAATCAGTTAAACTAAATTCAAACGTTATTTACATACATTAAAATTACATTTTGCATAATGTCCAATTTTCTCCTGTAAGTACAAATAGTGTAGAAATATCATCTCTAATAACAAGTGACATACACTACGCAGATAGTAAATAGAGTGAGGATACTTCTGTGGAGTCAGTCGATAACCAAGTACGGCACTGAGAACCAGAATGCAGAGACGCAGAGATGTGGGTTATCATATCATTTTACCTACATGACATTTAATTACATGGTATACATATCTCTGACTGAGTTTTTTACCATCAATTATCGTATCCTACGGGAATACAGAGTGCCAAGCACGAATAACTATCGCATTCGTAACGTAATAGTAATAGTATAGATTGGCCGGCTCAAGTGAACCAACCAATCAGAACGCTTACGCCCTCAGTAGTTAAACGAGAACACGGATCTCCTACGTCCTATGGCAAGCGATCAGCACGACCCAAGAACACCCACAAAACCAGAGGAATCACAAGGAATACGTTCTACCGTAAATGTAGGAAAACATACATCTGCAGTGAAAAACATTTTATTAACATAACGACACATGTCACAAACATAGAACATCAAATTTTAGAGATTTCCAAAATAGAAAGTGTATAAATTTCGCACATTTATATCGAATGCAAGAACTTTACATACAACGATCACATAATTCCATACAGTGTATTTACCTAATAATACTTTTATTTTAATATTTACTTAAATTAGTAATCTAATTCTAAATGAATAAAGTCTAAAATACTCTGAACTAATAATCCATATAATTGGTTTGAAATAGTTATTTTTGTTAATCGTATTTATTTTTAATTTGTTTGAAATTTTATTTTATTTTCGTGTGTTATTTTTGTATAACCATTTTTTATTTTTGAATACTTTTGCGTCATTTTTTCATTAACATAATGGTGTTTTATTTTCAGTAAAAATTGTATTTAGTTCATTGAATTTATTTAGGTATATCACATAATGGCTACATTGACTAATGACTTTAATACAATTGCAATCTTATTTTATTAATACAGAAACTGTGTGCTAAAAACCTATTTAGTGCTCAATATTAAAGCTATTGAATCTAAGGTGTATGAATTAATATTGATCACTTTACAATAAGTTTTACTTAGATTTTAAGATGTTTCATTAAATCCTATAGACGTTTTGTTTTACGACGTTTTGCGATTTTAGGAATTTAAAAAATCGATGATTAGTCTGCCAATTTAAAATATGAGTATTAATATATATTAGTTAGTAGAGATTGAAATATGACATCACCTAAAGTTAACCTTATGTATATTATAAATTATTCTTAAATATTAATGAAGAGAATTTTACTAAAATACTTAGGTCCCTATAGTGCGCAAAAGGTTCATTGCTCGGGACATTTTTTAGT